TGTCATTCCCTCACGCCTGCTCCTCCTTACTTCTTCTCCCCGCGCACCTGTGCCGATCGTGGATTTGGGCGAGCACTGAGCGTGAGGCGGGAGGAGGTGTGGATGTGGGCGGGCCTGGCAGCGGCGAGCGTGAGGTGGGGAGGAGGTGTGGCGTGCAGCGTGTGTGGAGCCATGAACAGGGCCAACCAATCGGAAGCCGATTAATCGATTATTGAAAAAGTTGACAACTTTTTCAATAATCGATTATAATCGATTATGTCGATTAGTTGTTGCAGCCCTACACCCGCCCTCTGCTGCTGTCAATCACTAGAAGAGGACCTGATGGAGAACTTCAGGTCCCCTTCTGCTGATTGGCAGCAGCAGAGGGCGGGTGCAATAGCTAGTTTGCTATTGGCTTTTGCAAAGTGAAATAGCCAATAAGAATTTAGCTATGCATTCCTATGGTGTTTTTTTTTTCTGACTTACGGCGACCGGCGACCGATGTCAGAAATAGAAAAAAACGAACGCAGGGAAAGGTTTACTCTGCTCGATCAAGCAGAGTATACCTTTCCGGGAGAAAGTGTTTCCCTCCTGGGCGGCCGGGAGCCGCTATCTAATAGCAGGAGACTCCCGGGCGACCCCTGGCAAATCGTCATTCAACCCCCGACGGGGTCGCGACCCACAGGTTGAGAACCGCTGCCCTATACAAAGCAATGCTTCTTGCCTAGTCTTTGCATTATGCCTGCATTGGCAGGGATCCCAACCTGTAATAAGTAATTTCAGCAAGGTGCCCTTCTCATTACAGGGAGGTGCCCTCTGTCAAACCCATACCACCCCTCTCCGTGGGGGGGTACAACAACAAGGAAGAGAGCACCCCCCTGAAATGATGACAGATAGCAAAGAAGCTAATGATTCCCTTGCTATCTGCTGTTTTTCTTAGTATTCTGACAGCTGCTGCCGTCAGAATAATAAAAAAAAAGACAGCATAGGATTGAATAGCTAGATTGCTATTGGCTATTTCAATTTGCAATAGCCAATAGCAAGCTGGCTATTGCACCCGCCCTCTGCTGCTGTCAGCAGAGGAGGATCCGATGGAGAACTTCAGGTCCACCTCTGCTGATTGACAGCAGCAGTGGACAGGTGTTTTCCTGACTGACATCACCGGCGGCCCCTATGTCAAGAAGAAAAAAAAACAGATAGCAGTGAAAGGTTTTCTTTGCGCAGAGTAAACCTTTCCGGGAGAAAACATTTCTCTCCCGGGTGTCCGGGACCTGCTATCATACCGGGAAACTCGCACAACATCCGGGAGAATTGAGATATCTGCATTGAACAAAGTGGCCCAAAGCAGCACAGCCAGCCTGGTGTCAACCAGCCCTAAGGGTAAATATTGATGTAATTTGGTATGGTTTCCTTAATCTAGTCGCTAATGATGAGCCAAATTGATATGTTTGAATTCCCATTTTGGAATCTCATGAGGCTGTTTTGCTTACAAAACTGACTTGTGTTGTTGGTAGTTGTGCTCACATCTTTTATTAACCACCAAGGATATGTTGAACTGTAAAGGAAAACTGTTATGGGAGGAATAAGAATGCTGCCATTCTTGACTTCCTTTAAAAAAAACTGGAAATGTGATTTTGTTTAAAATAAATTCTTGCCAAATTACATTTCTAAGGGTCTTACCTGTGGGAACTGTGGATATAAACCTTGTGCGAGTTCTGTGCCATTTAGTGTTGATTCTTACATTTAATGACCTTCTCCCCTACTAAACATTACAATGTTTGGGCTTGGTGATTAGCTGTTCATACCTGACCACAGCATCTTGGGATTAAGTCACATGCTCCCCCATACCCAAAAGCACTGGGTATTTCCGAGAGCTCTGACAGGTGAACAGTGGGGTAACTTGATGAAGGTGAGTATCAGGAATGGGGTAGGAGGGGAGTGTGGTGGCATTCAAGGGAACCTGCTACTTCCCTTCGAATAAGTAAAAGAACTGATTATCTTTAAAACAAGCCCTAAACTGTGGCCTAACTATAGTATTAACCCTTGTGTAGAACTAACATGAATCATAGTTCCATCCCTAATCCTAGTATCATTTTAGAAATAATTTAAGCCAGCAACCCAGACAGTAATGGTGATATGAAAGCCACACACTCATTTTATAGCCATAGTAGCCTATGATTAAAACCTAAACAATCTGTGGTGATCAGATCAACTTAATTAACAAGATGAAAGGGGGTCCAGTACTACATTGAGGAGCAATGGTAAGCATTAACGCTTCTTATCCTAACATCAACCATCTTCCTAAACAAAGCGTTTCCTTAAAAAAGAACTATGGGGTAAGGACATATACTAACCTCCTCCTGTGACCCAAAGCTCAGTATATAAAGGGCTATTCCCCGTGATATACTAAGAGTGCAGCAGCCGGGATGGATCCCAGCAATACTGTCGAGATCCACCCAGCTGCGTGAGTGACAGCGGGCTCTGCCTGTCTAGAGGCAGAGCCAGCTGTGCCAGCCCCTCCCCATTCGTTTCTCCACTCAGCGCTGGAGGATCGGAGAGGGGAGGGGGGAATCCCTGCGGGGAGCAGTGACTGATAGTCACCGCTCACTGCAGGGAGATGATCGCTCACTGCAGGGAGATGATCAGGAAGTGAGCAGATCGGTGCATGTTTTTGCTCACTTCCCGATCGATAGAGCCGACCTGTGACAGCTTCTTTGTCACGGGTCGGCTCTAACTATAGGATGAGTGGAAATCACTCACCTCAATGTTCTCCTTTAACCTGAACCCTAATTCTTACCCTTGCTATATTCCTAACCCTAGCATAACACAATCATAAGGATCAGTCTACAGAAAAATAGTATTTCACTTTTTGGCAGATGCTAGAGAGTTAAACTAACTGCCAGTTTATTTTTTCTCTTGGGGACTGTGAGATATCTAGTCTAGTCCCAAGTTTGTACACCTGCTGTGGACATTATGAGAGGTTCCCACTCTCCCTATTGGATTATTTATTTTATATTAAGGTGAATGTAACAAGAGGTGCAGGCACAGTATATAAAAAGGTGGATTGAAACACCAAAATATTCCTAGGTGGACAAGAGTAGATTTGGGAATTATGGTAGGGAAATCTCAGGTAGCAGGAAACCTTCTGTTCTTTATGTAGGAACTTGATTGGTAGGGTGTCCAGTCCATAATTATCTCTGGTTTTGCTTTTCACAACAGGAGTAATGTGACAGCATGATGAAAATTTTTTATTCATTCACATGTGCCCGAAGTAGCATGATCTCAACTACAGCCCTGGTATTTGCTAGTTGATTAAAAGAAGTTTAGAGTTTAAAATGATGCTTTCTCCTGCACCCTTTTCTCTGGGGTTCCCATCAGTTGATGGAACTAAGATCTATCCTGTATATTATTTTAGGATTTCCAAATATATGCTTTAAATTTGTGACTCAGTTATATGCATCATATTTAATGATGGTATATAAATCACACAGAACAGCCCAGCATTCTACTGCAGGTAGGCTCCTGTACTTCCTCCACTGCCTGCGCTGCGGCAGAAACCCTCTAAAAGTGGACCTTCATCCTCCTACACTCCTCCTTTCTCATAATTGGACATTTCTCCATCCTCATACATTTTTACTTTGGAACCCCTCCTGGCACTTCCAGGATTCTTGCCTATGCGAGAATTACATCACGCAGTCTTCTGAAATACTGACGTCATGCATGTCAGGAGACATGGGAATGCCGTACAGCGCAGGGGGCTGGCTGTCTCTTCCTGGTTTTTGCAGTGTCCTTGAGGGGGGTGTGGCTCCAAGAATCCTGAAGAGACAGCTGGCCCCTGATTAAGTAATTAAGGAAGAAGGCATCATGGGAACTAGTGTCCAATGGCAGATTGGCGAATTGCAGCAGTGCAACAATTGATTTGTTAGATATGTGAGTATATAATTTCCGGATAACTCAGTAAACAAGGTTTGTGGAGATTAAAAAAATACAGGAGGGATGAAGTAACTTTTTAAACCTGGACGTACTGCCTTGCATAAAAAATGTCATGACACATAAAAGCAAACTTCCCATTTTAAATGTGTATTTATGTAGTTTATGTATGCCAGAGGAAGAAACATGTTTATTTTTCGTAATCCTTTCTTGTTCCTCTTTTAGGTGTTGGCTGTATCTGATGGAGGTGAGTCATTTGGAGAATGGATGGAGAATTTGTTATATATTAGAGAAATATCTGAGGTTGTCATAATAAAATATACAGTAGTATAGCTGCAGAAACTGGACCTCGTACTTCACTAATTAAAAGATAATTAAAGCCAAAACCAAAACTGTAATATATTGCAGCATAACATTCCATAAATCTTGTGGCTGCATTCATTTTCTTCCTTCTAAACTATCTTCTGTAAATTACAAATTACACCCCTCACCATAGAGATGGAGAGGAAGACATGTTTGTAGTCCTGTCCTAGGGTGACAACCATGGCTCCCTCCATAGATACAATAGAGTGAGTGAGTGAGTGTAGCCATCCAGGACAGGAAGTGTGTTATTTGCAGGATTGCCAAGTAAAAGTAAAGCATGAAATAAATCAATGAAGCCACTTCATCTAAGGACTGGCAAACTGCAATATATAACAATTTAGTTTTTTTGGGGTTTGAATACACTTTAATAGCAAAACATGTTTAACATTGTACAGCAATAACAGCTACAGAAAGCAAACAGTTTGCAGAGCAGACCACTACCTAGAAGCTGGGATGTTTACCTTCCCAGTGGCTGGAGAGTCCCCAGTCCGCTTTTAAGTATGAATTTTCTTTGTTTGTCATATGATATTAGATGAGTAACAGCAGTGAATTACCTTTCTGCCTTATCAGTGTTTTTAAAAGAGTCATGCCAAGCGGAACACATCATTTTAATGCCATCTGACAATGATTACCAGTAAATCAGAATAAATGATAGAAACATTTTAATTTATCGATATACACTGTAGGAAGGTCAAACACAGCATGAGCAAAGAGGCATGTAACCTGAGAAAAGAGCATTCACATTCCCCTTGCACTATTGGCTGGCCTTTTATCAATGGATTTCTAGAGAAAAATACTCCCTATACTTACAATACATCTTATGATCCAACTAAAATCCTTTTAGGAGTGCTTTCAAATGTTGCCCAAATAACGATACAATAAATAATAATAATAAAAAAATATATATTATGTAAACCTGTGATTTGCCATAAAGGGCAAACAGGCTCACTGTATTCCCCATAGCGAGACATATCATTCTTTTGGTCCCCGAAAATAAAGCCCACTAGTCAGAGCTTACACGGCTGAGGACTCTCTCCCCATTCCATGTGACAGAGCTGGGCCAATCGTCAAGCACCAGTACTGTCACATAACTGGAAGGTAAGTGAGTCACATGTTCCTTCATACACAGAAGTACCAGGTATTTTCTTGATTTTGGTAGCTGACCGGAGCAGTAGGAGAGTAAAGGAAAGATAAGTAAGTAGCACGGGAGCATGGAGAATTAAAGGGAAGTGAAGAGCTAGAACCTCTATCTGGAGGGTGTCTACTTTTGTTCCCCATGGTCCCTGTGTGTGTTACTCTGTAAAGTAGCCACCACTCCAAGCTCACTCCCATGATGGACTACAATCTCATGTTTAGTTTACTAATTTGTATTGAGATTGTAGTCCATCACTGGAGCGAGCTTGGAGCTGTGGCTACTTTACAAAACACATAGGAACCATGGGGAATAAAAGTAGCCACCCTCCAGAAGGAAGGACAGTGTCAGCATTAATTCAGATATGATTTGAGGTTCTACAGCTGAGTGATTCACAAATAAGTTAAATTTCTGTTAATAGTTAAGGTACTTGAATACATTTTTATAGTTTAACTCCTGAGTTTAGTGTCACTTTAACATTGACTATGTCCTCATTGGGCAGACGTTTTGGAGACACCACGACAAAAGAAATGAGGGGAAACAGCAGTGAAAACCAACTGTGTTCAAAACAAAATACAGTGTTACCTGGAATTGTTTCTTTACTAATAATCACTATTAGAAAATAATAAATACCTATATTGACCTCAGGTCCCTTTTATAGCTTAAGGCCAAATTCTTACAGGTAACCTCACAACGACTTCTCCCACTAAGCAGAGGGACTATTGTATGTAAAAGTGTCCTAACACTGTATTGGAGCTAAAACAATAGTAAACAGGTTCTCTTGGACAGAAGACGTGTCTAGTTAAGTCACATAACTTCAGCGTGAGTTTGCACTTGTTCCTGTCCTTGATTCTGCTACCAGTGTAGGATGTTTGGAGCATATATTCCTTAGTAGCATCATGTTTTCATCATCTTTAATGTGTGTGATGAGTTTCTGGAAGTTTACTTTCCTACACAGTAAGAAGAAACTCAAAGGTGAGTGGGCATTCAGTTTTGTATGATCTACAATAATCTAGTCATCAAGTGCCACTAAATGTGCAAGTTTTTTCATCTTTTACTGCAGATTTCTAGGTGAAATAATTAGTATGCTTCTTGTAGAATGGAGTTACTGCTCTACAAAGGTTTATTGGACATAATACTAACTTCTTTATTGTAGGCACTGTAGGGCTCAGGTTCATTGGAATAATGACTGAAGAGATTATACCCTCAACCTATGTGCTGCCATATCTGGCTTAAATTGCATATTAAAAGTCCCTTCTGACCCTTGTGCCTGGATTAGAAATGCAGTTAAGTGCAGAAATGGAGTGAATGGCAACCCTACTCACTACTCCCTCACTACTAGGTACAAATGCACTATACTGAATTACATATTTTGAGGCTGCTGGAATATGCCAGAGAAGCACACGAATACAAGGTACAGTCTTCTCAATCGTTTAGCTGGTTTTAAGCCCTACAGTTCTTATGTTTGAATGAAAAAAGTGTATGTAACCAAAATAGCAGAAGCAGAATGCCTACTATAAGTGGTGTGTTATTCACAGATGTCTTGTCTTGCAATGTTTGAAGAATAAGGATGCCTGAGTCTAGGTCCACTTTTAAAGGTTACGGCTAAGTGGTGCCTGGTTTTCCACTCCTTCCTCCTTCCACTTCTACTGCTGTTATCATTTAATTCTTTGCCACTGTTTTGGATTATTTGGCAGCTGCCTCACTGGGGTTTTGTCATTCCTTCAAGGTCAATAGTATTATGTTTAAGAATAAGTTATACTTTATGGCCTGCTGTCATTTTTCAAACATGCTAGCTATGTTGCCATGTAAATATCTAGCATATTGATAGTCAAAGTACAGTGGGATTTCTGATGACTAGACTCTTTGTGCAAGAATAAATGTTACATTTATCGAAATGTGAATTTATCCTCAGCAATATATGCAGCAAAACACAGTGGTCCACCTGTACAATTAAGTGAAAGTGCTGGAGTCCATATATGATCCATTAATAACTCTTTAATAATTGAAAGCCAAATCCAGTACATCACAGCAAAAAGACATGTGTCGTCTAACTAAAGAGGTATTATGGATAGTATCTGAGCTCCAGCACTTTCACTTACTTGCACAGTCTATGGAGGGTAACAGGAGCTGTGCTGTTGATACCAACTCCTACTCGACCAAATGCTCCGATACTTTCCTCTGATACTGGAACTTCAGATCAGGGAAAGATCTCCCTCTGATGGGCAGTGCAGTACTTTCCAATCAGGTCACCGGGTGGTGGGTTATGACCCGCTTCCCGGCCTACGGATTTGCTAGAAAGCCGGCATCAAGTGTTGCTATGACCCACCTCCCGGCTTCCTGATTGGTCAGGAAGCCAGGCTGCCTAGGAACAAGTGAAGGCGGCTTCCTAGCCAATCAGGAAGCTGGGCTGGCGGGTCATGACGTGCCGCCTGGCTTCCTGATTGGCTAGGAAGCCAGCTTCATGTGTTGCTAAGCAGCCTGGCATCCTAACCAATCAGGAAGCCGGACGGCATGTAATGACCCACCTCCCGGCTTCCTGATTGGTCAGGAAGCCAGGCTGCCTCTGAAGCCAGTGTTCCTTCAATAGAACACCGGCTTCACAGGCAATCAGAAAGCCGGGCGACGGGTCATTATCTGCTGCCCAACTTCCTTATAATCGGGGCACAATGCACCGGTACTCGGTATTGTCGAGTACCGGAAAAAAAATATCGGTAACATAGTATTTGAGGTTGAATAAAGACATAAGTCCATCAAGTCCAACCTGTTGTGTGTGTGTGTGTGTGTGTGTGTATAGTCCATGAGTGTTCTCATTCTTAAGAGTACCTGTACCCTTGTACATTTCGGTCTCTCAGAAAGTCGTCTAAAAGCCTCTTGAATTATTCCATATTAATTGCGGAAATTACCGCTTGAGGCAGTGAGTTCCAGACCCTAACCGCGCGAACTGAAAAGAACCCCTTCGCCCCTTGTGTTCGAATTTTTTTTCTACCAGTTTTAGGTGGTGTCCTCTAGTCTTTGTTACGGAATTAATCTCAAAGAGTTTGTTGCTAATGTTGCTATGACTATGGAACATTTTGTACATGAAAATCATGTCCCCCCTTAATCTCCTTGTACTAGATTCCTAAAAAATGGTATCGGTGCATCCCTCGAAATATAGCTGGGGCTAAGTTGTGGATGGCTGTGAATTTGGTTGTTAATATTTGTTTTTTTATCCTTTGAGTGATTTGAAGCCAGTGGAGGATTGGCAGAGGGGGGTTTGCAGACACTGAGCGGTTAGTTAGGTGGATGAGTCTAGCAGCAGCATTCATGATAGACTGAAGGGGGATAGCCTGTGTAGAGGTAGGCCAATAAGGAGGGAGTTGCAATAGTCGAGAAATTTTTACTGAAACTGAAATATAGCTTCATGTAGTTTAGTGAAAACCTTTGAACTATATGAATGTGAAATAAAGATATAATAGGTTTTCCCTAATGTATCTTACATTTGTTTACAGAATTAAACAATGCTGATTTAGATGGACGAGGCAGTGACCAAAGCCTGAACAGCTTGCCCAGTGGCCATACAGCTGGATTTGCATCTGACCGATCAGTTGCTACTTGGGCAGTATCGTTTGAGAGGCTACTTCAAGACCCTGTTGGGATTGAGTATTTCACGGTATGAAAACATAAACAGCAATTTTTTATAAAATGGAAGCCAGTTTAGTACATTTTATGTCATGATAAGTGAAGAATATGCCATAATGTTTTTGGTTCTAGGTGTTCCTGGCTATTATTTGTATGCCATTGGATAAAACATCCAAAGTCCTAAGATAAATGTTAAAATATATATTTAGGTGTAAAAATAAGGTCAACGTATGCCAGTAAAGGTTTTTCTCCTGACACTGAGTATCACCACATTTTTTGGAATCCACACTTCAGTAAACATGTACTTATGTTTCTTTGGAATAGATAAAGTTGCAACAGGATCAAAGGGAAAAGTTGACAGTTGCAGGCTTCCTTGCTAAAATTGTCTAAAATACTATTTTATAGTTTGTGGTAATTCATAGAGCTTAGAGCACACTGTAATAAGATAACACCGTAATCAGGAAAGTTCAGATCATTTTTACATAATGTAGCTCTTATACTTTGAGTTGAGTGGTTCTTCTGCTGCTACCATTAGCCTGGGAAAAATAAAATTGTATCTGGTTTATTTGAATTAGAAAATATAATAAAGCATAATGCTATGGGAACAATTTTGAGGAACAAAAAAAATACATTTTTGCCTTCCTCTTTTTGCCCAGTTCTTTTCACTCCCACAACTATTTTTGTGCAACAGTAAACTCTTAGTAGGTGTGTTAGGTGGCACTGGGTATAAAGGATGAACTAGATTTAAAGGAAACAGTCTCTCCAAGAATGTGTGGTTAAGAGGAATATCTTTGAGTCTTTGACTTAAAGGAACTGGTCATATGCAGCTCTTCAGAAATGCAAATTATGCATCCATGACTGAGGACTCCAGAAGTCAGAAGTCATATTTTCTATTTATTTATCAATAGTATTGAAGGGAAGAAAATAAATGTATTATTATTTACATAGCACCAACAGTTTGCGCACTGCTTTACAATATAAGGAAGACATTACAGTTACAATACAAATCAAGACAAGATGGTAAGGAGGGCCCTGCCCATGAGAGCTTACAATCTAAAAGGGAAGGACAAGTGATACAAGAGGGGCTAGCTCTGTGGGGATGAATTGGTTGACAAAGTTATAATTCAGTGGTTAGGTTGAGGCGGGATAGGCTTCCTGAAGAGATGAGTTTTCAGGGAAGGCATTTATTGCAATTCTTTGCCTGGCGCAACTGGGGTGCCATTAGAAAATAAAGGCTGTTCCAGCGCAATTCCATGATTGCCCGGGCCATCTGCTTGGTTTCGTGCACGGTTCCCGCGCGATCACGGATTGCCTAGGTGTGAACCTGGCCTTAATGCACACTGTGCGTGTTAGAGAGCATTGCTGCCCATTCTGCTCACACACACAATGCCTTATGCATGCTTTTATTCACATGCAGATGGTGGGGGAAGTGGGGTTGGTTTTAATTTTTATTTACTTTATTTTTTTTCATTTGTAAATTTTTTTTATTTTAAATGTTAATTTATTTTATTTTTTACTTTATCGCCTTTTTATTTTTTACATTTTTATTATTTTTTAGATTTTTGTTTTATTTAATTTTTTACTTTAATTGAGGTGTTGACAGAGGCAGAGGGCAGTGACACAGGCAGAGGGGAGAGAGGTGGTGGGTGGTGAAAGAGAAGGAGGGCAAAGAGGCAGCGGGCGGGAGAGAGACAGTGTTTGGAGAGGGGGAGTGCCTGGCGCCCAGAACTGCATGTCAGGCGATAGGAATTTCACACCCCTGATGTATGCATGTGAGATAGAGACCTTAAATTGTAAGCTCCTTGAGAGCAGGGGCTGATATGAATGTGCACTATGTAAAGTACTGTGTAAATTGTTGGCGGTATATAAATACCTGTAATAATTATTTAAAAGTGTGCATTATTCCCAATTTAAAAAAAAAGGAATTTTCCAAAATAGTCCTGTTTTATGTCAGATTATTGGATTGAATGGATGGATGGATAGATGGATGGAGATTTTGATGGAGAAAGGGGAAAAAGATGTGAGCGGTGAAGTGATGTAAGAAGGTTCTTATAAAGAGATAGGTGAAAGAAGAGAGGCAGGAAAAGGGTGAAGATAAGGTTGATGGAAGGAGAAGGGATAGAAGCAGAATTGACTTCATAGCATTAAAAAGGAAAACAAGCAGAACCAATGTTTCGGGGATACAAAGGCCTCCTTTATTTAGGTGCAAAATGTAATGGTTGGGACAGGAAGTAAAGTGAAATCTCTCCAATGGGACAAAGACAGGGGTTTTAACTATTTACTACTATACCAAAAATTAAAATAAAGTTTGGCTTTAGCTATACTTTAGTTAAATATATATGCTTTGATGTGAAAAATGAAATTGTATTCTTCTTCTTCTTCTTCTTCTTCTCCTTCTCCTTCTCCTTCTCCTTCTCCTTCTCCTTCTCCTTCTCCTTCTCCTTCTTCTTCTTCTTCTTCTTCTTCTTCTTCTTCTTCGCAGGAATTTTTGACTAAAGAGTACAGTGCTGAGAACATACATTTTTGGAAATCTTGTGAAAAGTTCCAAATCATTTCTGAAGATGACACGGAGCAGGTAGCTATGACGAAAAAAAAAAACTTCTGAAAAAAGTGGCTAGTGAAATATATTGAATGGTAAGCTTTAAAGATCCCTGACATATGGCAGATGAAGAAAAGGCATGATGATTTATAACAGTGAACAGTCAGCTATGATCAACGCACTATGTTGGTAATATAAAAGAGAAGCAGAATAGGAAATCCTGAATATGCTACACATTAACAGCTGAAGTGAAAACAGTGTTACAACAATCAAGTGTGAGCAAAAGTTAGTTAAAAGCTAGAATGTAGAGGACATAAAAGTAACTGAATTGAGTAGATATTCAGCTACCACCTTTAGGCCTCACACACTTGGGGTTATTGGGGATTTCTGTGACAAGAACCTGCAGAGTCTTGCAGCTGCAATGCAAGGTGGGTTCGTATAAATACGGCCATTGTGCCCTTTCAACTGAATGACAGGCTGACAGTGGCTGCATCCATCTGAGACTGTCCTCATGTAATTGTAAATGATTACCTGCGGTTCGAGATAGATGATTGTCCCTGGGTGCAATAAGGGCAATTTATCAAAACTGGAGCAGACTGGGCATTGGAAACCAATCAGCTTCTCTCTTTCATTTTCAAATCTTGAATGCCATGGGCAACTGCTCCAGATTCTGACTGCTCTATTTTTGATAAATTCCCCCAATCTGTTTACTGTTCGGGGGCAATACTCTATTCTGAACCACGGGTAGTACGATTACATGTGCACAGCCATGGACAGATGCAGCTGTTGTTAACCTGTCATTCACTTGAATAGGCACAGTGGCCTCACCTGTACAGGCCCACCTGGGATTCCTGCCACAAGAATCCGCAGGTTTATGCTGCAGGAATCTCCAGCTGCACATTATAGTGCCGTGTGCGCAAGACCTTAAATAGCTCAAATAGTCTCAGCCTTGCAGCTATAGTTTAGAAGAGTGGGACACTGAAAAACACAAAGGAAAAATAAAGCACACTGGCATAGTGTAGAGCTTTCATTAATGTAAGAAGTTAAAAATTATAACATTAGACTCACAAACATACACTTTTTCACTGGCATCAAGCACATACCTCTGTTGCTCAATCTTTCTGATGAAGGGGAAGGTCCCCCAAATGTGTCCCTAGCAATGGTGCACACAGGCCTGACAGGAGACAAGGAGTGCTGGCGTACATCATGCAAGTAGGCAGCTGGGACATAGGAGAGGGCAGTATGTTCCTGGGGCCTTGTCTAAGACTAAGACCAGTCTTCATGTGCGTGTCGGTGGCCACGAGCAACAATGGTACATGCTGATGCCATTGAAACATGTATATTTTTGAGTGCAATATTATCATTTTTAACTTTTTACATTAAAGGAAGCTCTACACAATGTCGTTGTGCTTTGTTTTACCTTTGCATTATCCTGATGATTTATATGTTTTGTTATTTTTTAATTGCACCAGGGTTATGCTATACGATCAATTACATCTTTTTACACCATAATTGGCTTTGAACTCTTTTTACTGTGCTTAGTCTGTGCCCTCATGACCAATGTAATTCTTGTATTTGCTGTTAAAAGACATATAGGGTTATTCACTAAAGGGTGAAGAGTTTGTAGATGGCAGGAGGAGTGAACAATCTAGGACAACATAGCTGAACTGGAAAGTGAGATTAATTGGAGACTTTTTCCAAATCAGCTATGTTGTCCTAGATTGTTTACTTCTCCTGTCTTCTCCAAACTCTTCTCCCTTTTGTGAATAGACCTGATAGTGTGGCCTTCCTTCTCTTTCTGCTCTTTGATTATAGGCAACACTTTATATTTGTTAGCTTCCCTGTTCCTTAAAATAGAAGTCCAGTCAAAATGTATTTTCTATTTTTGGATAAAATGGGGAAGGCGTAAAGCATCTGTCAGGTTTTTATTTCTGCCTGTATGCCCATTTGGGACATTCCTCCTTACCTTATGCCCCAGAGACAGTGATAGGAAATCTCCCCAATGTGAGGGGAATTCCCACATTTGAGAGTTGTAACTGGAACATTTGTCCCCATTGGGAGGTTTTACCTTCAACTCCTGTTCTGTTGACAACTGCAAGAAGTTTGTCGTCTCCTTCTGCTAGTGCTAATGGTCATCAGAATAGAACTTGAGAGAAATTCTCCATAATGACATTACAGGCAACGAAAATCAAACAGAGCTTCTAACCTTTCCCCACCGTCCTCAAAACTAGAAAAACTGGTTTGGCTGGATTTCCACTTGTCCAGTGCTCATGGCTCTGGGTAACTGGTTATTACCTGATGCATGTACACTAGTTGCACACAAATGGATAAAAGTATATAGAGAGATTCTGCATTCCAAAAACAGCCCCTAGAATACGAGTAAGGGAGTTTTGCATTTATATTTTCTATTTTGGCTATTAATAGTTTTTCTGTATTGCCTTTATGGCCATGGATTGCGAGTTTCAACTATCGCACCTAAATGTTTACAGTTCTCATTTGCACTTTCGTTTTACGTTATTTCCTTGCTGTAGATACCTGTGTGGTTAGTCTGTGTGAATGAATTCACAGAGGCAAGCGACTTTGCAGGGTGTGTGTTGTTATCAAAATCTCACCACAATAAGTGTGTGTATGTGGTTTCCTCTATAGTAGTTATAGTATGTACTCACATGACCGTTCAATTTTAGATACTAATCATTCTGCTTTTATGATTAGTAATGTTCTACATAATAACTTATAAGGTTATTATACACAGTTTTGACTAGTTGTATTGCAAATGTTGTACATGTATTCTTTCACACAGTGTAAGAAAACATAAAACTTCTCTACCCTTAAAGGATGTGGTATGATTTCACAAAACCTTAACAGGATGTAGTTACATAAGATGCAGTGAACATTCAAGTCAATAACCTTGTTTCAGTTTGGTAGAGGATAACTTCATTTATACATGTTTTAGACTGTGAGTTATATTTTATTATCTGGATCGTTCAAGCCTTTCCAGATTATAAACCTTTCACTGTGGCTCGTGCATAGATTCCTTATAAGAAGACTGACAATGTTAATAGTGAATGAGAGCTCCACCTGTAGCAAGCCTGGGAGCAGTTACCACCGCTGTTAACTGACAATGTTAATAGTGAATGAGAGCTCCACCTGTAGCAAGCCTGGGAGCAGTTACCACCACTGTTAGCAGCATATAGCCTGTTGCTATGCCACTGAAATATAAGTAGGTAATGATAATAGTAAGGCGATTGCCAAACTTAACATTTTTAGGTAACATTAATGGGACAGACTGGACCTGATTTACTAACAGAGATGTTCATACGATTGCACAAAGATGCCAGGCAAACAAGCAAACTTAATGCTCACAGGATTTATCATTCTTCTGAGATGTGCACAAGGCTGTAGTGAACCTATGCAGAAGTTATTAAGAAGAGTGCTTCACTATAGAATGTATGCTCCAGTGTCCGAATGAACGCTAGATACGCAGTGGTGTTTCCTTTTGATTGTTTTAGGTCTATCTGGATGCTCTTAGCAATTTAAGATGCACAGATCATATAGGGATTAAACTGCATCAAATGTGCAGAACTATCATTAAAGGAGACGGTTTCTAAAACCCTCAGTTTAACTAGCAGCAGTGCACATGTGGTATTATTGAATTGTACATATGGGGATCTTTCCGTTTGAGCACTAGTCAGCATACAGAATTCCATATGCTGGTGCTTGGGCTAAGGATAACATTGATAAATACTTATTGATGCACTGACATATATATATATATATATAGGACAGCATAGCACACTTTTTTTTCAAATCTGTTTCATTGTTTAGCAAGCTAGTCACATTATTTTTATTTTATTTTTTTAAATGTTATTTATAATTTTTTATGTTAAAAAAAAAGTGTTTGGCATTTGCATTCTGTGGTGTGTCCTACAGGAACAGGGTTTATATTAGCAACATTATTTGGATGTCCAACCATCCAAGGCAAACTAGGATCATACTACATTGAACATTAATGTATGATCAGCTAGATAGGCTCTTGGATCATGATTGTGCATGTAAGCAATAGGGATGAGGTAACCAGACAAAGTTTAGTAGACAAAACCTTTAAATAATATGCTTGGGGGATGCGAAATTAAAAAACACCAAGATGCATGCTTTTAAAAGTCACAAAAACATAAGAAAAAGGAAGAAACACAGCATGGGGTTCCCTTAAAATTCCTACCAGGTCCTTATCCAGGCTGCAACTTGAGTGGCCAGGACAGTGAGGGCAGCAAGTGTGTGTTTACCCTTCCCCCCCCCTTCCTGTACCATACTAGGCCACATGTCTTTCAACACTGGGGATGTACCTTGTGAATCCATCAACAATCGTGACAACCTACTGCCCAACAATGTTTCCTTGCTGCCATGACTACCTGCTGCTTTACCACCACCAAATGACTGATACCTGGCTTCTGTTTGTAAACAACAACACTGAGGATCCTGACTCATGTCACTGACTAAATATGGTCATGACCCCATTTGGTCAAAGACCTTACCCAGGTTTCCCACCACTATGTTTGTATTGCAGCATCTGTTATTTAGAGGCAGTATTGTGGTGGGGCAGCAATTTGTGGTGGTGGTGGGTATACATCATCAGGCGGGTGTTCTTGATTGATGGATTATGGATTTACATTGCTCACTTTTTTTTTTAAGAGAGGAGTTTTTCACAGTGTGGGTGTCTTAAAATTTAAACCAGGCCCTTTTCAGGCATGCAGCCTGGGTGGCCACGAAAAAGGGAGGAGAATGAGCTGCCTTTTCATAAATAGGAAGGTAATGATATGAGTATTTCTCTCATAACAGGTTTCCTTTAAACAGACATTGTCACTTTGCTCATTCAGCGTCTATGTAAAGACTCCCCCTGACCCAGTGATACTCACCTCTCCAGCACTTTCACACTATTCCTTTTTCTGTCACAGTTGCTCTAAATGACCTACGAATAGGTAGAAATGGATGGTGGGGGAATCACTGGAGAGGTGAATATCATGGGTCTGGAGGAGGAGGGACCTTTACACTCAGGGCAAAGATTTGAAGAAAACGTTGTTCAGTTATAACATTTCAGTTTTTTCTTTTTTAGCTGTTGCAAGAGTCTCGGCGGATCTACAATGAATATCTCTCAAGTAGCTCGTTGTGTCCCGTCAATGTGGATCAGCAGGCACTTATCACAGAGGAGATGCTGATGAAACCATCTCCTCATCTTTTCAAAGCACAGCAGCAACAGGTGAATGCAAGGTCCTGAAAATTGCGCAATAAAAGGCATATTAACGCCAATGTGCGCATATTGTAATGGTTTGTAACGGTTTGAGCTGATTGTTGTACATACCATCTATTTCCTATGAATCTGCAACGCATAGCAATGCTTCAGTAAACATATGTAACCCTTTTGTTCCCCCGTCACATTGCAGCACATCACAAGCATTTGCATTTATATATGTGGTGCGTTACTTTATTTAATAATTGTGTGATAATTAGATGATGTGTAGTTACACATTGAGGGCCCATCTTGATTTGAACACCTTTCTTTTTGTTTGCCAAATGTTTTTTTTCTAAATAGAATAAAGAAAAACTATGCAGTACATCAATTTAATTGTACTATCCATATATACAGCATAGGTTTTGTACTGAGAAAAATATGAAGGCTGTAATTACTGACCTCTCTTTGCATAAAAGCTAGTTTCCTGTAGTCATGCTGATTTTTGGCTTTAATACTTCTTGAATATATAACTCAGAATATTCATCAAAAGGTATAATTTCACTGACTGCAATCCTATTTAAGATCAGTAACTCTGAATCACTTTTATCTTGTACTGGTGACTCAGGGTGGGCCTGTTAGGCAATCAGGGTTGAGTGAAGTTAATGATCCATGGTAATGGAAAATTAGTCAAAAACAAAACAGACAACACCTAACATGGTTCATGTGTTTGATCCTGCAGGGTAGTCATAGTAGTGACTGTTTCTTCTTTGCAAAACATGTACTAAAATTGTACTATAGCAGCTATATAGACAGGATGTAATATTGTACTGCCTAAGTGTGTGCGGGCCATCACTTGTGAACACAAAAGTAGACCAGTTACACTTTCCAACCCTACCCTTATACAAGCTTATGTAATGTGTCATTGACTATATACATTTTAAATATCTGACCTGTACCTGAATGTATAATGCAATCATAATTTCAATTTCCTTAATTCAGATATTTAATCTGATGAAGTTTGATAGCTATGCTCGCTTTGTGAAGTCTCCTCTGTACCAAGAGTGCATGTTATCAGAGGTAGAAGGACGTCCTTTGCCAAAACTTAGCTCCTCAGCCATGAATTTAGCAGCAGGCTGCACTGCATATGACCCTGGAGCAATAAAGGTGAGCAGGAAGGATGCCATTTTTTGCAGCAACAATCACTGGTTTGAATGTCATGCTTTTAATTGTTGGAATAGTTAGATGGTATATTTTGTATGTCTGGCAGTTCAATAAACAATAAAAATGTGCAACGGGCAGTAGACCAGAGCAACCAATTAGAACTTGTAAATCTGGATTTGGGTTTTTGCACTTTGCATGTGCCCATCTTTTTCTTTTCCTTGGAAATTACCACCACTGTCTTATATTTAGAAAAAGCAGCTAAGACCTGGGAAGTCTTTGCCCCTTGATGTTGAGGCAACTGGTTCAGATATGACAGAGGGTTCCAAGCTTCACAGGAGATCATTCAAGAAGAGGGACAGACGGTCAAATGCTAGAGGTGAAAACATTTCTGGTTTTCCAAATATTATGTAATTGTTTTTTTCTTTGCATTTAATAAAATATTCAATGTTATTTTTCTTTTATAGTAAATTTAGAGTTTGAATTGTTTACCCGAATACATGTTTCATACCATCCTAGAGAACTTTACCACTGTTGCATAACATTCCCTTTTAAGGGAACCTGACATAAGAAAAATCTCATTGCTGATTTCCATCTGAAAGTGTTAGCTGTCTGGTTGTCATGCTGATGCTCTAGTTTAATGAAAAGTCAGTTATCTAAAAGTATGCAGATCATGAGTTCTGACGTCACTTGCTAAATGCCTTTTCTGGGGTTAGTGACTGACAAACCGTCAATAAATTAAATTATTTAGACTGAGGTCAGAAGTCCATGTACTTACCGGGTACAATAGCCAGCCTGCTATTGGCTATTGCAATTTGAAATAACCAATAGCAGGCTAGCTATTGCTTCGTAGTGTTTACATTCTGCTGCGGACCGCGGAATCTAGCTGCCAGCCAGTAGCAAGATGTAAACAATGAATTTTGTTAGCAACTAAATATATTTAGTTGCTAAATAAAAATGTTTGTGTCCCCATGTCTATCAAGGAACGGCAAAAAAATCAACGATATATTATGCCCTCTATTTTTTTCCGGTTGCTTGTGAGTGCCGATTGCTTGAGTGCCGGATAATGGGGAGTTTACTGTATTCCCTTTCAGCCTTGTGTTAGGGATTGCATGTCTAATTTTGCTAAGCATCTTGGGATTGCGCTCTGGTCACATTTATATTTACATATTTAGATGTATTGCTAATTATTTTTCTTTTTTGTATAGTAGCTTATTATTTTAATTGGGCAGATTTCCTGTCCATTTTAATGCAATATTCCTAAAAGGAAGTACTATACTATGTTTGTTATTAGATTAATTATAGAACTTCCTTATTGGATCATCCTGATCTCTTTCAAAGCCAGTTTCGGGCTCACCACTATCTGTCAAATCTTGACTTTTTCTTTTTGTAAATATACTCCTCAGGTTTATGTTTTTTATCCTCCAACTATTATTTTCTTGGCTTGAATCTAGTAGGTTGCTGTAAAGAAACACAGTGCACTGATAAATGAGGCCCACTGTTTCTAAGGACACAGTACTGTTTGCTTGAAACCAGGTTAAAAATAGCTCTTTATCTAGTAGGCCTGTCTAAGGTTACTTGTGTAACTGGTTCATCCACTTATTACACAATCAGGTCACCTAAACTTGTGTGGAAAGAGAGCTGCTGTACATAGTAATTAAGAGACGATAGACGATCCTGCTTCCTAAGCACTTCATTTAAATGCTTCTGAGGTACCAGATAAAGTGGAAGTGGATGTCCTTATCACACATACTGTACATAGCATATCAGGAAGTCCTGCAATAATGGCAACTTTCATACAGCTACTGTATATTACTCACTAAGTAGAGGTGGACTGTTATTAATGATTTATAGAGTCCTAGCACTTTGTCCTCAAGTTCTACTAATTGATGATATACTAATATACCAGGCCATGGATGCCACAAGAAAGATATGTGGCATCAGGCTACAAAGGAGCAAGAGTGTGACAGAGGCAAGGGTGCTGAAAAAGTAGGCAGACAACGAATAAAGGCAACCATACATTGCTCTATTTTGTTCGTTCAACCCGCGGGCTGAATGAAAAAAATAGAGCCAATTCCTCCATCAACACTAACAGCGTGTCGATCGCTGAATCCCACTGTATACATTTTATTCTGACAGCGGTCACCAGCCCCTGTCAGAATACCCGACAAGAGCGGGCAGCTTATTGACTGGTGGCTCTGATCGTACAAAGATTTTCCGGCGGGCTCCTTCGATCAGCTGATCAAGAGATGTCAGCTAAAAGGGCGCCAACAGCAGCACACACTGTGCGAATTTCATCCACTTCCTCAAAAACAGCCGAAATTCACACAGTGTATGGGCACCTTAACTCTAAGTGCCTCAAATTCCACCAGACAGGCTTCGTAATATGATTATATAAGAGCAAGTGCTAACACAATGGGGAAGCAAGAAATTACTGGCAGACATAGGGTTACCCAGTATTTTACCATCCTGGCTGTCAAAATGACACTTGTAGCCAATAATATTAATAAAAATGCAATCACAAGCCAATATTTTTAGTTTTTTGAAAAGCTGACAACCTTAGCCAAGCAACATGTTCTGACAGAGGTTCTGAAGAGACAAACACAGACGGTTAGCTGAGGGAAAACACACTCAGGTTCAGGAGAAATAGATTTAAGACATAAATAACCTTTAAAACCCAATTAGAATAACCTTAAAACCCAAACCCACTGTTTTATTTTTTTTACACTGCTAAGTGCTGTTGCAAAGGTTAAAACACTGTGCTTATTTTTCGCACGTAGGGGCAGATTTCAGCGCGTATCCATTGGTATTCCCGAGTGTGACTTGCAGTTAATAAAGCGGTAACGCCGAGCCACACTCGGGAATACAGCGTAGGTCTTACCTTGTCCGCGATCCCTGCTGTGTCCTCCGGCAGCTGCCGTCTTCCGCGTCGCAGGGGGCGGAACCGGCGGGAAGTTTAAAAGTTTAAAAAAACACAACGAAAAACAGATAAAGAAAAAAATATTAAAAATCATACCGCCAGGGAGGTTAAAAAACGAGCGTTGAACACGAGTTTCATTGGAGAAAAAACGTGCTTAAAACGTGCTTAAAAACGCGCATAAAACGCACCTATTAGGAACGCCCAGGTGTGAACCCAGCCTAAGACTGCAGTGCACAGAACTCTGCCCTGAACTCAAGTAAGTCGTTACAAATATATAAGAAATGTACATGTATGCAATAGGTACAATGAGATGTGAATTGTATCTTTACTTTATTCATTTCCTGAACTTATCCTTAGTGCAGTAATGCAAGCAATCAGCTTCTCTTTTCAGTTTGTTCAGTTGACTTCTGAAAATGAAAGATAGAAGCTGATTGGTTGCCATGGACAAGTGCTCCAAATTCTATCTGCTCCAGTTTTGATAAATCCCCTTCCCCTCTATATTTTATATTTATAGATTGTTCTGACAACAATGGAGTCTTAAGTCGACATGAATCTGATGGATCTCTGAATTCTGCAATAAGCTTGGATCTAATTTCTACCGCCTCTGGAAAATCTGAGGTACCTAGCCTGCAGTGTGTTTACTGCACCCAGACATCATATAATAAGTATACTTTTCAAGAAAAAAACAAAACATAAAATGAACACATTTAGAGTTGAGCCCCATCCAGCTGGTGTCCCAAATCCCAATTATAACACCTTTGAGGAAGCGGGGCTCCTGGTGCATAAGTAGCCCCAGGATTTGTGGGGCACACAGGGCTTGTAGGTTAATAGAACTAATAGCCGGCACTCTGTGCTGTCTCCTGTTGGGCAGTACTTAGGTTCTTTTTAAAAAAAAAACAATTCCCCTCCAACCTGCTTCTGTTCTGCAGATGTTGAGGTAATTCCAGTGTCCTTGCTAAATTGTTTCAAAATGAGTACTAAGCTGAAGGTTCCACGTTTAGGGCCCATTCACACCATAGCGTGTGCATTATTGTGCGTTAAATGCAAAGCACGCTGGTGTGCATTGTAAAGTGCGCTTAGCTGCAGTGCATTTTAACAAGCATTGAAGTGCTTTACTATTTTTTGTTTTTATCTTATGTCATTATGCACTGCAGCATGTTCTGATGAGTTAGAACATATTGGAACACACTGCGCAGAATACATCATGTCCTATTTTCTTTTTACCACACACCAACACAGCTCATTGGTGTGAGCTGAAGCCATAGGACATTGAGGAAATTGCCTTGTTCCTGCTTGGGGACTGCACCGGGCACCGGCAGTGTTATGTAATCACACAATCAGTCTCTGTAACATAATAAATATTGCATCCCTGGAATCCCTTTGGATGTGCTGCACTACTAGCAAATATCATTGCATCTTCTTATCCCTGTGTTTACTCGGTGGTTCACACTTTTCCTTACAGAATGGCAGAAGTCGCACTAACAGTTTGGAGCGTGAATCAGAGTGGAAGCATATCAAATATTGCTGTGTCTACCTCCCAGATGGCACGGCCTCCCTGACTGCTATCAAACCTGGACATAATATACGAGAAATGCTGGCCGGAGTCTGTGAGAAACGAGGATACCGTCCCTCTGATGTTAAAGTTTATCTAGCAGGGCATGATCAGGTATTCTCGTTTTAAAGTACGGTGTGTGGTGCAGATATTGTTGCAGTGATCACAATCAATAATGATCTTGTACACCGACTTTTAGTATGTATGTTAATATTCTATTATCCATCCACAACAGGTATCCATCCACAACAGATCTCAGTTAATAAAAAAAAAAAAAGAAAAAACATTTAGCACCACTACTTTAAAATGTATCTAAATCCAAAAACAACAACAACATATTGCAGCTTACCAGTCCTTAGATGTGGACAATGCCGACCAATGGGACTCGTGTGAACCAGCTCTTATTAAATTAACAAAGATCACAAACTTTTGCAAAGCTCTACTAATCCCTGTAGTATAAACTACTGTTATCTCCTTGCAGGACGTGTGGTTGCATATTGTTTCATGCACAGACAATATCAAAGATATGGCTTAATATCAAAGTCAAGATCACTTGGGAATCCATTTGCAAAGTGTCCATAGTGCAGTTCCCAATTTAGAACAAAAATATTGGCAATGCTTGGCATATTTATTATTTCCCAAATGTATAAACTGCAAACATATTCTGCAGTAATTTGCACAGCAGAAGGAATCTCTCATTCCCACCACAATTAGAACTGCAAGTCTAAGACTATTTTGGTAAAGCTTGGGAAGAACATACACAGTTGATGCAGCTAGGGCCTCTAATAGGAATTAAATGCAACACGTTGTTTTTCATTTAAAGCTGACACTAGTTTGCGGCTGTACACCTGTAGAAACATTAGAATACAAGCTGCTAGGACTTACACGAATGGTCTATCTACTCTGCAGAGTGCGTTTAAAAAAATGAATACATTTAAACAAACACTTCTGCTGGAGGAAGCTGAAAACAGAGATCTGCAATATACCAAATGACCACTAGGTGTCACTTTTAGTTTATGTTTAGTTGTAGTTATTGGCATAATACACCACTAAAAACAATGCCTAATGTGAGTCTAATGATATTTTCCTAAAACAGCATAATATAAAATTTGCTCAGATTTGTATACAGTATTCAATGGGTAACTTGCTGCCTGTAAGATGGGTTTATGCAAGAAAATCTCTAGGTAAAAGTTTGGGCATAACCAGGAAAAAGAATCATAATACCTCTGTACATGTGATTATACTTTGGAATAATCATTTAGGTCTACTTGGCGCTGGAGTCTAGATTCATGTTACATCTATATTATACTGTATATTATATGACTTACATTTTTAAACCTTGCTATAAAAAGTGTATATGTTAATCAGAAATCCACAGCTTTTTAGTAGTTTAGTAATATTCCACAGCTTTTTAGTAGTTTAGTAATAATCCACAGCTTTTTTTTTTCCACGTGCACTTAATAAGGAATGGGATGCTCAGTACTAATTGATCTTATAAAGGTCAAGCAAGTTTAGGAATAAATAATAAAAAATCTGTACAAATCAAGTATAGCAAGCAGCCAACACTGCAGGAATAAAACCCAAAGCTTTGTCAACAGGACATGTGTAAAAATAAGGCCATGCTGATCCATAAATACATATTATTATATTTTATATTATTTTAGACTTCTGCTTTAAAATTTGTCCTTGGATACTTGCTATCTTTGACTGTTTTTGAATATTTGTGTTCATTGTTATTATTATCCCATGAGTGTAGTTAGTGAATTCATTTGAACTCATATTGTGTATGACATTAGTAAATACTAGATTGCAGTGTGGTAGGTTGTTAGCCAGCACTTAGGAAACCTGTGTTAGGAGAAATATGAAGGCTGACATTTTCATCCTTTTGAAAATACTATTTGCCTGACTGTCTCCGGCTTCAATACTTTCTGAGTCACTGGTGTTGAGCTAATGTCTTCCATCATCAAATCATATGCAAATAAAAATACTGTTTGTTTGTTTTTATTTTCCTTGCTCATGATTTGAGTTTTTTCTTTTACCACATTCACTAAGCTAAGGAAAAATCCCCTTGCAAAGTGAATATCCTATTTGCCTTTAGTGACTCAACCCCACTGACTCCAAGCAATCATGTAGAAAGCAATCATGTTGACAGCACCTCTGTCAAACTTTTACAAATACTGTCTGAACTAAGAAAGCTTGTTAATAGAATACACTTAAAAGGAGAACTATGAGGTGAGTGCTTTTCACTCACCTCATAGTTCTAGCCGACCTGTGACAATGAGACTGTCACAGGTCGGCTCAGTAGATCGGGAGGTGAGCGAACACATACCGGCGGCGTTCGCTCACCTCTCGATCCTGTCACGGCTCTGTGCCGTGACAGGGGAGGGGATGGATTCCCCCCTCCCCGCTCCGATCCGCCAGCGCGGAATATGTCTCCTATAAAATGTGTTGTCCAATCAGATTGTACTGTACTATGGACTGTACTGTACTATGGATCATGATTAACCCAATCATGTTATCAGGGGCATAACTAGAAATCACAGGGCCCCATAGAAAAAGTATCGGTAATTTATATCGGCAAGTACACGAGGGCCAGTACTTGTACTTGTACTTGGACTTAAAAAAGTGGCATCGGGACATCCCTAGTCTTAACCATGTACCCTGCTCTATCCAAAACGAAAAAAAAGTTTTGGTTTTACATAAATAATATAGGAAAAATAAATCTGCGCTCCTGGATATGGCTAAATTGTACTTGTATCAAAAAGCAGCTATGAAAATAAAGGAGGTGAACCGCCTTTAGATAGATAGAGTACTTGGAACACAGCGCTAGAGATAAAGTCAACAAAATATGTGTAAATATTCACAGATTGGGTTGAGTGATCAGTGGATATCAATGTATAAATTATGTGTATTCGAAACAGTCATAAAAAGTAAACGAAAAAGATGGTTTGTATCACTATGTGAACAACATAAAGTGTAGCCTATGGCTAATAGATATAAATGACATTCAAACGTAAGTGAATAATCGTGATGAACTTAGATGACAAAGAATAAATAGTAAAATTGAATAATAATAAATAGATAAAATCAGCTTCGATTAAGATTAAGTAATAATAGATGATAGTAGATGGATAAAATCAGCTTCGATTAGTGAATATAATACGGCATTACAACTTCATTGGAAATAAATACACAGTATCAGAAAAAACGTCTCAAAAAGATTACAGTGAATAATCTGTGACAGTTTTTTCAAAAAAGCTGAAACAAAAAAAAAATAGCATTCAGTGATCTATATTAATCTTGAATTGTTTCTTTAAATAAGTGAAGGCGATGCCAGAGGCAGCAATGTTCAATGGGCGATATGAAGGGTAGATCTCAAAAAAATAGGCAATGTAAGAACAGGGCAGGGGGGGTTTTGAAGACGGATGATTGTTAGTTCCTATCTCCTTAGTCCGACAGCCCCCTTAGTAATGGGTACTCACCGGGTTACGGTGGATATGCGCAAATATCAGGGTCTTGACGATATGGTATCCGGTCCCGTCCTGCCTTCGAGTATGTTCTTCCCGCGTTAGAATCGGGCAGTAGGAGAGATGTTTTCCGGCTGTAGTGCTGGAGCTGTCTTTCAGACCCAGGGACCGCTTAGCCTAGGCGTATTACTAACGAACTTTCTCTCCGGAATCAACAGGGTTATGAGGGTTTAAAAGCAGAAAGACCTCATGGTGCAGTATATAAAAACAGTATAAGTTTTATTAAAACATAGTAGCTTACATCTGGAAATATAAAAACCGGCCGGCACAGCAGCTCTGGATCAATCTAAGAGGACTCCTCGCGTGCAGTTGAATCTACCTTTTTGACGCGTTTCGTCATGTGACTTCTTCAAAAAAAGGTAGATATCTACTTACGTTTGAATGTCATTTATATCTATTAGCCATAGGCTACACTTTATGTTGTTCACATAGTGATACAAACCATCTTTTTCGTTTACTTTTTATGACTGTTTTGAATACACATAATTTATACATTGATATCCACTGATCACTTAACCCAATCTGTGAATATTTACACATATTTTGTTGACTTTATCTCTAGCGCTGTGTTTCAAGTACTCTATTTACATAAATAATATCAGTATATATTTTAATGTCATTGTAGCCATTATTTGAGTATGTGATTAAAACAGTTTGCTGTCTAGTTAATAGTTACTCTTATTACATCGTTCATAACTGATCTTCTTTCAGAAAGCGCTGGCCTTGGATCAGGACTGTGGGGTGCTATCTGACCAGGAGGTCAGGTTGGAGAACAGGATCAGTTTTGAGTGAGTTGGGTTTCCTTTCCTATTCTTTCTGTAAATTTTGCCAGTGAACACTGAACTACTCACAATTAACCATCCATTACCAAAAGATACAGGGCAATCTGGGAAGACCTTCATTAATCTACTAATATGCTTTTGACTTGTGAGAAAGATTAATTGTTAACACCATCAGAACCCAGAAAGCTAAAAAGAGAATTTGCAAAATTGCAGTGCTGACCACTATGTCATCATGTGAAATATCCTATAATTTAGAAAATGTGAAAAGAGCTAGAAAAAAAAAGCTGAAAACATATTATAATTTGCAATAAAAACAAATATTGACGTTAATTGTTGGTATTTTTAGGTTACAAATTGAATCCTTGAATAAAAACTTGCGTATCGTGGCCAGGCCCTCAAAGACAATACAGGAGGCTTTACAATCAATTTTGAAGAAATACGGATTGAATAACCAACATTTTGTACTAAAAAAGGTAAAATTAAAACCTTAATGAGTTCTAAAATACAGGCACTTATATAAAAAACATAAAACCTTACATAGGAGAATTCATAGCTAAAAACTGTCTGCACCTTCCGCTATAAATCAGATTCATATTTTCTAGGGAATGTGTGATTTAGGGGAACATAGAATGCTAATGCTATGTGAGCTAAAGCCAAAGCTCATCTTTAGCTGCCCCTCCCCTCAATTACTCCCCCCCCCCTTGCTGTCCCCAAAAGCAGTATTTTATGTTTTTCGTGTTTTAATATTAACTTTTTTCCTTTAGCCTGACCACATGATGCATCTGGGTCCTCTTCCATTTTGCCTTTCTTAAGGCTGGGAGGTCCTCACTGATGCAGAGAGTGGTGCTGTTCATCATTACAATGTGAATGAGGGATGGATGGTGATGCCTTCTCAGGTGGCAAGGCCATGATGCCCTGCATGTACAGTATGCACTCAATCTTCCAGATTGAGTGACTCATGCATCATTTATCCTGTAAGGACCAAGGACATCTTGTGGCAAAGTACTGCAGGGTACAGCCCCGTATTAAACCTATTAGACATTATGAAAGGGGGCGCCCAGATTCAGATAAGACCCCCACAACCGCTGAGCCAGGGTTGTGGGGAAGAGGCCCTTGTCCTCATCGACATGGGGACAAGGTGATTTTCCAGGGGGTCCCGCCCTGGCAAAGCATCCTCCCCATGTTGAAGGCAGGTGGCGTGGCATTGGGGGCATGTGCATGCTTGTCCCCCCCTTTCCTTCTCTGCCAGGCTGCTGTTCGGATTAAGGGTTTGGTAAGAGATTTTAGGGGGGATTCCATTAATTTTTTTTGTTTTTTTGCGTTGGGGTCCCCTCTAAAATTACTAGCAGACCTGAAGGATTCACGCTGTTTAAAAAATATATATTAACGTTTAACAGAAGTTCATTCCGAAGGACATTCAGAAAAAATGTTTGACGCATCCGAATTTCGGATATTAGAAAATGTGGATATGTTTGGATTAGTTATTCCTTTCATTCAGAAATTCTGATGCATCTGAATGTCCGAATTTCCCATAAGTCGTACGAATTTCAATTCAGAACGAAGCAAATCACAGGGAAGAAAAAAATATCCCAGAGTTGCGCTTTAACGAGCATTGTGCAAAGAGAAATGGTTTTCTGTAATCCTCTGCAAACAATCAGGTACCAGCTTTTAGGAAATGAGGTAGCCAGACTGTGCTTGGTTGCCATTACCACACACTATAATATAATTCATAGCCCCTATCAACGGGAAAATTCAAACTTCCATCAATAGATTACGGAGGGGTACAAAGTGTAAATTCCACTTGCTGTGCTACCTTGTCTCCAGTCAACTGGAATTCCTCATAGGCCTTTATAAGCTTGAAAGTAAGGAGGGATGGAGAAGTATCCCATAGAAAAGAGTTGCTGAGAATTCCAGGTAAAGAAATGGTGGTATAAAGGTACAAAGCTGTAATTTACACACTAAACTGTGTGCTTCGTTAATCCTGTGCTTCGTACATCCCCTCCTGCAGAATTTGCATTAGGTGAGGATCAAGAAGCCGGGCGAGTCATGACACACTCCTCGGCTTCCTGATTGGCCGGGAAGCTGGCTCCATGCTCTGTTGTCACCAGGGAGCATGGAGCTGGCTTCCCAGCCAATCAGGAAGCCAGGGGCCGGTAATGACTCGCCCCCCAGCTTCCTGTTTGGCCCTTAGTGACGAGGAAGCATGGAGCCGCCTTCCTGGCCAATTTGAAAGCCGGGGCGGCGTGTAATGACTTGCTGTCCGGCTTTCTGATTGTTCAGGAAGCTGGCCAATCAGGAAGCCATGCGGCGAGTCATTACCCGTCCCCCGGCTTCCTGATTGGCCAAAAAGCCGGCTCCATGCTTCCTCGTCACCTGGTGATGAGAGAGCATGGAGGCAGCTTCCCGGCTAATCGGGAAGCCAGGCTGTGAGTCGTTACATGCCGCCCGACTTCCTTAATGGGACTTTTGGTATCGGTGAATCCCTAATATACAGTATATGTAGTCATAACAACAGGTTATATGATTGTATATTCCTTTTCTAGCTTTGTGCAGTGAGAATTGGGCAGTGAACAGGGAACTATATAGTCTGTCATCACAGTATTTATCATAATTTCGCTTTTCACTGCCAGTCACTTAGGAAGATCTATTATGGCAAGAACATATTATGCAATATGAAATGTAACCAGCCACACGTCATCCATTAATCAGTGCTTTCATCTGAAATGCGCGTGGGTTTCATTATCTTGTCAGATCAGTTATGTTCTGCAGAAGGTCATTTGGCATCTTATCTTAGGATTACTCAGCAATAAAGTCTTTATAAACGATTCCTCATTCTCAGTTAATTCCTTATGACTGAGCTCAAGTTATCTAAATAACAATAATTTCCTGCAACAGTGCTTGTTGTCAGTGTCAAGCTATTTTATTAAAGATATCTACATAAAAAATATATAAATCATCAAAGTTGATTGAGCAGGTAGGTATTATAGACAGAGCTGTATTTTGTCTATAAGTCTTCCTATCAACTATACAATTCAAAGGTCAGTAAATCCACTTTTACTTTTAGCAGGTAGAATATTTAGTATAGTGACATTTGCTGTATAGCTGAGTTTAATAGTTTTTTTATGTTATCTGCCATTTCTGGCTGGGGAAAGGCTGACTAGTATTCTTTCTTATCATTAATAGCTATAATCTTTTTAAGATATGATCGGTCAGGGCAGCCATCAGGGGGGTACGGCCGATACTCATGTAAGGGGCCCGGGCAGCCTGGGGGCCCGCCCGGGACCCTTACATGCGTATCGGCCGACGGTGAAGCGAGGAGTCGGACGGGCCGCATGCAGC